TAAGACTAATACGCTCTTCCATCATCTAAGCAATTTAATTCCATAATAATAGCTCTTCTATCAGTACATTTTCCCCATGATCTCAGTACTAGTAAAGCACTCAAACACTGTATTTATTGTTCTATGCTTTCCTTGCAGTCCATAGTCTGCAGTGCTATGGCTGTAACATCATCCAGGGCCAGAGGTATGTTGACGTGGGCTGCTCCAACCCAGAGGTCATCACCTGCCCCCACTCTCACAAAGGCTTCAAACATCGTTTCTGCATCAAGACAGAGAGCAGTGAGTGCTTAATGATTATCTTCCTTTTCTCTTTATCCTTTAACACAGTGAGTTAATGCCCTTGTGCGTGATATTTCTTTGGAGAATATTTATGGGGTAGCAGATTATAAAATCATGACGAATTGACTCTGGCGTACCGCTGGACATTGGCGTAATCGTTTTTAATCATACTTTCATGTAAATGTTCTTTGTTCGCTGATGTGAATATTTGACTTGTCCCAGCGCAGAGGATAGTTACATAACTCTGCTGTAGTGTGCTTTGCTGACCAAATTGTAACTCATTCATTGTTTCATGTTAAGGCAAACTGGGTGTTGATGGTAAAATGGATACATTCGTAGAAGTGTGGGCAATCCAGACCTTTTTTGTTTTGTTCCGTTTTTGATTTTTTGTTTTTTGCTTGACATCTGAAGAAACCTCTCCTACCCAAAAGCCTGATGAGGCACCTTTTTCCATTGGCTCAGAGAAACAGCAAGCTCAGACAAGCTCTGATAACAGCCTGACAGACACAGTATGACAGGCATTTTGTCAGAATCTTGTAGCTGTGTCTTGGTAGTAAAATGGGGCTGGACAGGCTGCTAATCTTCCTGTGACCCCGTCCAAAGCAAATCAAACAGATGCTCCTGAAGTTCTGTAAGAGTCTTAGATTTTTTGGTGCCCTTTATCCTCATATCCCCAAGACATCTGCCCTTAACCCCCAACAAGTTCGGTGTTCCTTCCTCTGAGTTATAACAGAAATAAAGAAGAGGAAAATATCCAATATTGTTATTGTGTGATATTAAAATGAGTGCTGAGGTAATTTAACTGTTAAAAAACATCATCGTTGCCAAAATTTGATAGTGCTCACTTACTGTAAGCCACAACTTTCAGGAGACACCGTAATGCTTGTTATTAATTAGCATTCAACATATGCAAAGACAGTTAACCCCTAGTTGAAGCATGTTTTAGTATTTAAAGTATTTCATATAAACAGCAGATTGACTATTAGCCAGGTTAATCTTTTCATGCTGCCCCGACTGATCTCCGACGTGATCACTCTGTTTGCGTTTAGATAAATAACAACTGCTTCGCCATCTGGGGAAGTTAGTTTGCTGTTTGTCTTTTAAGAGATGTTGACTGGTGCTAATCAAGAAGGTGATGAGTGAGGAAATGAAAGAAATGCTGAAAATGCATTGCTGATCAGAAGAACTAGCAAACTAAAAATATGCATCAATACATTTTGAATTAAAAACATATATAAAATGCCTAAAAAAAACCTTTGGGACCCTCAAGGCAAAGTGGTTGAGGTGCATACCAAATAAAGTCCCTGAGCAGATTACAAGTAACAAAAATCCTGACAGCTTACAATTTTTTGTTTGACGCTTTCAAGAAGGAATTTTTTTCACCTTCAAAATAGATAAAGCAACTTTGAGTAAAATGAAACTGAAATATATAAAATTTCAGTTACATTTAGGTTACATTTCACTGCATGTTATACTTGTATAACTATGCATGTGACGAATAAAGAACCTTGAATCTTGAATCTTGAATCAAAGGCTTATTCGTTCAAATATTTAATCTTTAAGGAAAATGTGCTTGGTATAAACTGAATATATGCCAAAGGGTAGCTGTGCGGTAGGCTGGGAACAGACCAAAATGCAGAGGACTGACAACAACAAGATTGGGAAATGACGAAAACGGAGCACTTAAGTACACACAGGCAGTAATAAGGCAAAGTGGAGACACCAGGTGACACAGCTGAACTGAATCTGAGATAGGAGGAAGCAAAACGAGGGATCTGTCAAAATAAAACAGGAAACATAACAATGAGACAGAGACAAAGACATACAAACTTGACACAGACAAAATGGTAAACAAACACAGAGACGTGACTAACTGGGATGAAAGACTAACTTGACACAAGTAAAGAGGGAGACCAGACAGAGACACACAGAGGTAGGCTACTAACATCAACCAAGGAACAGAACTAGAAACATAACAAAACTCAAAAGTGCTGGGAAACAAAACAAAGGAAGAAATAATATAGACCTCTAACTTAAATCACTTCTTAAATCCTCAAAATAAATCTTGACTCCACAAATCTCAAAGCACTGTATCATCGACCCAGGAACCATGACAATGTAATACGAGTCAAGTAAATTTCACTTGACCAGATTCCATCAAATGTAACATTTTACATTTTAATTGTGTAACGCTATTAAATTAGTTATAGTCAGAATTTTGGGGCAAACAGCTTGGAGTATTTGTGCATATTTAAGAACATAAGTATTTTCTTAGTTATTATCAAATAATACACCACATATATGCCAGATTCCAAACTGGAATGATGTTTTTATTCACGACTACAAAATGTACTCTTTCTCAGCTGTGTAGGCATATCCCGTGGAGATCTCTAAATGTCTTCCTCATTATACACTTGCAGTATTTAATGCTTACTTTTGCTTTTTTTCCTGCTGAGCCAAACACCAGCTAATCACTCTTATCTGACTGACTGACTGACTGTCTCTCCCTTCTGTCCCTGCAGCGGCCCTGGGTATCGTCCTGACAAGTGGTTGCGCTACATCCAGACACTGCCAGCAACAAGAACTGCCAGGGGTGCGAATCCACTGTTGCGGCTCAGACCTATGTAACAGCACCCCCTTCTGGCATCCCAGCACACTCCACTATATCTGTGCACTGCTCACCCTCTTACTGCTAAGGATGTGGTTGTGATGTGAAATAACTCTCAAGAGAAACATAAAATCAGTGGCCTCTTTTCATAGCTGCTCATGTGTATGACTGAATTGGGGGATTTTTGCTCAGTATGGCTTTATTGGTATGCACCTTTAAATTGTGGTGTTCACATTGCTTGGACTTACAGTCAGAGGGGTGGCAAAAATAACCTTGTAAATAAAAAATAATGGTGAAGCAGCTTGCAGCCATCAGTGAATTTATGTCCACATCCACTTACTGAACCTTAAAGTATGGAATATTATGGAAGTGAGTAATGACACTTTGTATGAGCAAAGCAGTAACACACTGACTTCAGTTGAATTCACTTGTACAGGAAGACAGTCATTTCCTTCCTTGGTTTAAAGTGTTCACTATCATTTTTAAGATAACATTTTTGTGTGGTGTCCTCTGTGAACTCACAGGCTATTCATATTGAATTGTTTTATAATGTTATTATTAGTTGGGAACGCACACTGCATGTGGTTCTTCTGTCTATGTTTGTAAAAAAAAATATTGTTCAGTGACAGCATGTAATATTGTGGAAAACATATTAAAATGTTTGATATTTTTCAAAAGAAAATGGGTTTGAACTTTGGTAGTTTATTTTTGTGTATATAGTCTGAACTTGCGTCAAATCATTTTCTTCTACTTGTTACATTCACCCTGTCTTTGGACTGTGGGAGGAAGTCGACGTACCCAAAGAGAACCCACGGAAGCAAGGTGAGAACATGCAAACTCCTCACTGAAAGGCCCAAGTCAGCTGCTGGATTCAAACGCAGGACCTTCTTGCTGTGATGCCACAGTGCCATCCACTGCACCATTGTGCTGATCAGAATAATCAGAGCAAAAATTAAAAGAGCAAAAAAGGAGGTAGAGCAGGTCATTTACTAATGGGAAGTTTGGTGGTTTGATCCCTCCAGTCTGCATGCCAAATATCCTTGGGCAAGAGACGAACCACAACTTGCTCTCTGATGCATCCATCAGAGTGTGAATGTGTCAGAATGTTAGACAGAAGCACTTACGCATAGCAAAAAAAGTGCTTGAATGAATGGGTGAATAAGGCATGTTGTATGAAGTGCTTAAGAACCTGTCCATTTACCATACCCAGCGCAAACAACAAAACAGTTCACCTAGTATATTGACAACTGTCTTAAAAAAACTGAAGGATGCTCAGGTGAGAGTTATATGTTTACATATATTGTGATAATATATAATTATAGCACATGTTTTATTTGACACAAACTGTCATCTACAAAACAAAAAAAATCAGAGCAAAGATCACATGAAAGAAGAAAAACATGCATCTTGCTGAATTATTTTCTTATCCAATTTTTAATTTATTTTACTCTTCTATTTTTTGTGCATCTATCAAAATTATGTATTTTTAGAGCCCCTACTTATGGTACATTTTTGAGGCCAGTGTTATATGTCTAAATAGATAGATTTGGATAGGCTTGCAAACTCTGCTGTGAAAGGATGTGAAGGCCTGTGTTGTGCAGTTTTAGGGTTTTGGAGGCCATTCGCTGGTAACATTGCCAATTGTTATAAGGGTGAAGCACAGTGTCTGACATTTTATATTAACTTTACTATAAAATACATAGTAATCATATTGTAAGAATATATTTAAGCCACTGTTTCCAGTGAAAATCAAATGATTTCATGGTTGGGCTAAGTCCACAGTGTTTCAAGATCTTAGCGATGCCCTTCGATGGAGTTCTAGTATTGTTTTGTGTTGCTGTGTGCTGATGGTGCTGTTGTAACTCTTTTAACATCTGCTGACCAGATGCATTTGAGCGTACTCCACAAGCCTAAACCTCTCAGGTGGCAGATGAAGCTTGCTAAAATTTTGAACTTTCCCTCTTATAGTGGCTCATGATTTCACCAAAGTGATTATTTCATAGTGTGACATGACGATTGCTCCCTGTTAAGCAGTTTACGAGAGTAGTAACCTTTGCAAGAATACACCTGTGAAGGTGATTACCTTCGAGGAGGCAGTGCATAAGTTGCAAATCGCCGCATACGAGGCTCTTTGTCCCAGAAGCCCATTGTATAGAGCGGAGGAAACCCTGTGCCGTGAGCAGCCATCTTGGATAGACAGATCATACTTGAGCCAGGATAACCTGCATACCTCCTGTGAACAGCTCAAAGCGCAAAAGACTTAATATCTGGTAAGGACAGAAGAAGGAGGGTATTTGATTGCACTCATAGACGCCCGTGTAATGTGTAATAAATGTAGAGAAACTGATATTTAAACGAAGAAACCCTTGGAAGTGTTAAGCTTTCTTGTGTTTTCCAGGAGTCAGCTAGGTGGAAAGCTAACGATGGTAGCTAACAGATGACTAATGCAAGGTTGGGTTCTAAGTCCAATATTGTTAGGCATCACATATTAAACGGTTATGGAAAAAATGCTACTGTTTACGACAAAGGGCTTGGTTTGCTTGAAATAACAAGATAACGCGTTACGTGTTTGCCATTAGCTGACAAACTAGCCTGCTAAAACTGTCGCTAGCTTTCGTTAGTTTAGTGTATTGAGGCATTTTTCATGAAATTGGGCTCAGGCCAGGTTGCGTTTCTGAACCTGTTTTTACTCAATAATGCATTTAAATCAGCTGTTTGTGTGGCGATGAGGGCAGGTGGCTTATGTGCTTTGATTTATGGGATTTGTTGTTATCCGTCTCTGTCAGCTAGCAAGTGACTAGCTAACGCAAACTTGTTTGTCAAAACATCCAATTTAAGGCCGTATATTTATCTGAATTTGCCATCTAAATGTCTGTTCAAGTCAGTATCAGGTTTTATATCCATTTCCGCTTCGTAGCAGCACTCTTTTTTTCACGCATGAAATCTAATCTCAGAGATTTAGTCATAGCGACGCTGTCATTTTTGCCGGTTGTCAAGCTAACGTTAAGCTAGTCGCCGTCGGTAAGAAACAGGCATTTCGTTAGGGTTCCATATTGAAGGGTCAACCTCCGATATCCAAGTCGGGTTTGACGATGGATTTGACTGGCCCGTCTAATTCCTTGTTTTTGTGTAGGAATAACTGTAATAAAGCGATTTTTTTTCCTGTACTGCAATGCTAATCCCTTAGCCGGTAGTGTATTAGCTTCTTATTTGGGTGTCCTTTTTCCAAAGAGCAGGCATACACGATTTAAAATAAATAAATAAATAAATAAATAAATAAAATTGGTCATTAAGTTAACGATGGTAACTTTTGTATGGTCGAAATTTGGATAGCTTTGCCTTCGTCGACATTTAAAGTGCTGCATCATTTCTGTTTCTGGTGTTAGTGCACTGTGTCTTAGTGGACATTATCTTAAATTATTACCGCGTTACTTAATATTTAGTTTTTTGTTTTACTGTAAGCATGTAAACACGTCACTCATTTTTGTATCGCGGTAGCGTCCTTCAAGAGTGTATATAATAGCTATGGGGTATCGCGTTCTTTTTAGTCACGTGATTTGAGTGGTGGGTCTGAACATCACGGAGACAGTGTGACTATATGTGTCATGATTTCCTGAAATCACATCATCTCTTTGCATCTATGAGGAATGTCTGTTGAGAGGAAGAAAGGCAGTGTCCCTGTTTCTCTAGAGAAAGCTTCAGGAAAGGAGAAGTGCTGAGGCTGCAGTCTGGTCACATGGTCTTGACTCGCCTTCTCCTTGACTGATACTCATGGGGTTTATTTCTATGCCATGTGTAGCGGTGGGAGGAAAAAAGGGTGTAAAATGAAGTCGAATGTCACAGCCAAGTCACATTTTACTTTTGCTCTTTCTGGGGATTGTGCAAAATCAACAGGCCATCACTTTGGAGCTAGAGAGACCACATGAGGGTCATGTGACAGCAGAGAGCCTAGAAAAAGAGTGTGTGAAACAATATGTTGGGAGTTAAAAGGATGGTAGTGAGGTGTGACAGCTTCAAGGTCCTATACTAAATCATGGTGTGGAGCATAAGTGCAATGTTATGTTTTGTCTTTACCCACATGAATCACACTGTAGGGATTAATGAAATGTAAACATACATTGTGTCTACTGTGTTTGTGATTTTTCACGATGATTTCAGACTCGATAATGCACCACACAATGTAGAAATAATGTAGGTATCCACCAGTGATTACAGATTACGTTTTTGGTAATGTAGTAACATAATGTGTTATTGTACTAAATTCAGTAATCACTTTACAGTTACAGTTATATTGTTAATTTCATTACAAAGGTTCTTCACTTATGTGAATAGTGAGCGAATGAAAAGGTACTGTGTAATTTATTACTTCTATGGAGCAACCCCAAGTCTGGTACCTGGATAGAATACGGGCATTTATAAATAGGAAGTTTATGCATACATTTTTTTTATATATATAAATTTTTTTGCTGTCGTTAGCTGCTTGTTGGTGGTGTGATTAAACACTAAAGCACAGGTCAAGTTGCAGAAGACTGTGCCAAATCTTTTCTTGGACCACCCACAGAAACACAGTCACAAAGGCACTGCTAGCGCTAAGAGTTGTTTACATCTCTTGAAAATATAACACTCAGGAACTTTTGCTCTTATTAATTAAGGAAAATACAACTACTACATTGTTAGCTGTCTAGTTTTAATTTGTCTTTGTACACCTATATTTCTGTCTTGTTTTCAGTTGTCACATTTCTAGTTTTTTTCCTCAGTCAAAGCTCGAGTCAATATGAGTATGTGTAAACATGAGGGTTTGTGACCCAACATTGTTTTTACTGTTATAAAAGCTAAAGTTTAATTGATATCTTTATCTGATTCAACCTCAGTTAAGTAGCCTGCAGCGTCTTATGTCTTTATTTCAACCATGTACTCAATTTTTTTTATTCTGTTTCTTGCACTTTTTTCTTCTTTTGCTGTCTGTATTTTTCCATTTATTTGCTTTTTCTATTTCCACTTTTTCTCTTGCTACATGCATTTCTAACGATTGAGTTTAAATTAAGCTGACCAATCAAATTTGGTCACCAATCTGCAGATGTAGAAGTACGTGCGTAAAACCAGCATTGTGTTGTGCTCGGGCACTGTGATTGCGGTTTCTAGGAACTGCTCTGACTGCAGTATAGTTTCCTTTGAACTTCATGTGAGAATGACACTGGTTTAAGGCAGATTATCTTTGCAAGTTACAGAGAAATCATTTGTCTGCTGAATGATTATTCTTTTGATTAAGTCTGAATTATTTACTACTCCTACAGCAGTCAATCGTGTACAGCAGCATCTCGATTTAATACTGTGCAGCAGTAATTAAGGTAACTATCACAAAATAATTTTCCTTCATAGAAATACGAGATCAGTATAGAATTCATTCCATCCATGTTTTGACAGATAACACGAAAGGTGAGAATGAGAATATCACTGCGCTGAGCCAGTTGTGTGGTTGGAACAGCCGCATCACGTTAGGTTCATGCAAATTGGATATGAGAAGTACACAACAGTACATTAGGTTTGTAAATGAGATGAGACAAAATGACAACACAAAATGTTCAAACTTGAGTAATAGCGTTATAGAACATAACAACCTGACAGACTTGGCCCAAGGCCC